CAATCGCGTACGTTATGACCGGCTCGCAAGCAGTTGGGACATAATCGTAATTTATTTACTTCAGTCTTTCGTTCTTGAACACTCTTTTTTATAAATATAGGGCAGTCATAAATCCTATGCTCACCTTTACAGACAGCACAGCGATGGATGAGAGAACCAGAATGTTGAGATGTGGAAGTGAAGGATTTAGTGTTACGTGAACTATTATCCGGAGGGCGTGATTGTGTTTGAACAACCTTAGGTTTATCTAGCTTATTATGATATAATGTTTCTAGAACATCGGCGCGATCAGTTAGAAACCTGTTAAATTCCTTTAAAGAAGGGACGTCAGGTATGCTATTCCGATATTCCTCCCATTTGGTAATAGTACGGCTATCCAGTTTTGTTGAAAGGATATGAATAATTAAGGTGTCCCAGTACTCGACAGGTTGACCTAAGCTAGATAAAGCTCGCAAATTTTTAGTGACATGGTCAACTAGAAACCTCAGTGACTTGTCGGTCTCGCGTGTGAATGAGCCGATATTTAATAATGAATTAAGGTGGTGATTCACGAGTTGTCGTTTGTTATCATAGCGATCACACAGCAGTTGCCATGCGGTTGCATAATTAGTTTCAGAAATCACAAGGTTCGAAATAATTCGCGCTGCCTCACCTTCCAAGTACGAGACCAAGTAATGAAACTTATGGACGGATTTGATGCGTTCATTGTTGTGAATAAGTGACAAGTAGACATCTCGGAATTCGAGCCAGCGAAAATATTCCCCACTGAATTTCGCAATTTGTATTTGTGGCAACTTAAATTCAACATTATGACAGTGCGATGACTGATCGTGATGACATTGTGATGAATTAAGTTGATCAGAACCATCAGAAGTATGGCTGTGCTTTGCTATAAGCTCTTGAGCAATGGCGAGGTGTGAGGCAAAGCTCTGTTCAATTTCATCACGTTCGTCAATCTCACCGTCCATATTATTGCAGTTTAGAACTTCAATTTGACCCTGTAGCTCGTCAAACTTGCTTGCCATTAATCGAATCTTATCAACGTTAAATTGTAACTCCTGAACTTGCATCCTAGTTAATTTCGATGAACAAACAATGTCCAAATATTTTTTGAACTTTGTTAGTCGTCCCTTAACGGAACTACGTTTAAGAACTAATTCCTTCAGCTGTTTTACGTTCATGTCTTCACCTGATACAGACATTCCTAATATTTTATTAACTTAGTCGTAATAATAAATTTAGTGTAGGTAGGTAATTTAAGTTTAACTAGTAGGTATGCAGTAGTAAAATATATGAAGCAGCAGAATGAAGGAATAAAGATAAAGGTAAAAATCTTATCTGTAATTTCCTTAAGCAGTGGCACCTGGGTGACCAGAGGCTACGAGCGCGGCCCTGGCGCGTAGCGGCGCGCGGTGTCTGCGGTGAGCGAGCGCTTTAGCGAGCTGAGCGATGCACGGTTGGCACCTGGAATTATCGGCCAAAATGATTTGAGAAATATGTCTATATCTAAGTGACTATATCTGTCACCCCTATGAGCGTATTGTAGCGTAAAGATATAAGATAGTGCTTTATTGTCAAACAATCTATACAAATCAGTTTTGTATGTTTTAGTCTGAATTTAGTACGCTTTTATTTAGAATAATTCTTTGTTATGTTTAGTTTGTGAAGGTAGAACTCTGTTAGAAATGTAAAAACTAGTTTATAGTATTGCAATTAATTAATTATAGCTCTTAACTTGATTCATTGAATAAGCTTGACTTTAAACTATTTTACAATAGCACAAGAATGTGTAGGTACTTCACTGCAACCCTTATAATGGAAATAGGATTTATATTAAAGTGGGATGAAGGATAGGCACTTAACTGATAGATCCTCTCTGTAGGCTGCAGCAGAAATCATAACAGGTACACCAATTACTTGCAATTTTATGGCTAGGAATTTTTCCAACAATTGTGACGGTAAATTTCGACGTAGGTGCTAAGCCTGGGCGCGTTGCTTGGTAATCTGCTTCTAACCTGCTGCTTGGTAACCTCACGGATGGCTTAGTCGTCTATGTATTCTTCTTAGAGTGAAAATATGCGTAGATTGACCTTTTGTTGAAAATTATTTTGTTCTTATCTTCGATCCGATTCTTGCAAAATTGTATTGTCACGGTCGCCAATATTTGTCTAGTATTCGACAAACTGTAGGTTTTCGTATCAAATAAAACCTCTTTTCTTACTTAAAATGTTGATATAATTGTCTAAGATAACATTTACAGTATATTCTAGACGAATTTTCGTAAGTAATGACTTGCGTTTTTTACTACAATATTTAGCTATGAGTTGTGGGTGGCAGTGAAAAAATATTGCCTTCAAAAAAATAAAAATGTCCGTCGCATAAAGATCGATTCTTGATTGTCTGTGGTTAGATTGTTTTAATAGGCGTGAACAGGAGGTTTTGGCTTACTATACCACGCTGGCCAGACGGGTTGGTATAGGGTTTGTGTACGCCTCCATGGCCGGTAGCGACAGTTGTTTTACCGCGGTCGCAACCTTCTGCGAGGAGGTAATCTCGCAGAAGGAGGCGGCGGAGAAGGCCCGGGAGGACGACCTCCACTCGGACCTGATCCGCCGCCGGCGAACCGGGCGGCGGAGGCGCGCTCACCTGCGCCTCATGCCGCCCTGAGTGTGGCCGCGGGTGGACGGGATGGGTTCTCCCCTCCACCCGCATTAGTTGGCCAGCCGCGAGGGAGCGGCGTCCGCGTGTGCCGGACGTCGCCTAAAGAGAGGATAATTGAAGACGGAGCCCGCACCAGGAGCGGGCCGGCGCTGGGAGGGGTCCAGAAGGCGATAACTACCTGGACCCATCCTAAACTGGAAGCGCAAAGAGGGCACACCGTGTGGTTTTAGTCGGTTCGAGTCCGACACACCACCCCGCCGCAAACCCCGGTGGGGTGACGGTCCGAGGGGATTTCCACACGTTAAAAAAAAAAAGGGTTTGTGTACGCAGATGATACTCTGGTGACAGCCCGGGGGGCGAACTTCCAAGAGGCGGCGCGCCTGGCCACAAGGGGAGTCTTCCTGGTGGTCGGACGCATTGAGGCGCTGGGCTTACGGGTGGCCCTAGATAAGACGGAGGCTCTCTTTTTCATGGGCCCCGTCGTGGTCCACCCCCTGGCGCCTCAATCGTGGTCAACTCGATCCTCGTACCGGTTCGGGCCTAGATGAAATATCTGGGCCTGATCCTCGACGGGAGGTGGCTCTTCGACGAGCACTTCCGACAGCTTGCTCCAAAGCTGGTCTTCGCTGCGTCTGCCCTAGGGCGACTTTTGCCCAATTTGGGTGGACCCAGCGTCGCGACAAGACGGCTGTACACGGGGGTTGTCCTGTCAATGGCACTATACGGTGCACCGGTGTGGGCGGCGGCTCTGACCGTCCAGAATAGGGCACGCCTCTGGCGCCCTCAGAGGGTAATGGCGGTCAGAGCCATACGCGGTTACCGCACGGTTTCGACGGAGGTGGCTTGCGCGTTGGCCGGAACTCCCCCGTGGGATTTGGAGGCGGAAGTGCTCGCCGAAGTTTATCGGCGAGTGGCTGACTCCCGGGCGGAGAGCGTATTTCGCCCTCCGCCGGAAGACGTGCGCGAGAGCCGCGAAGCCACTCGCCGAGCCACGATGGCTCGTTGGTTGTTCCGGCTGGAGACTCCATGCGCTGGCTTCGCCGCCGTGGAGGCTCTCCAGCCGGTCATCGCCGAGTGGTTAGGGCGGCAGCACGGGACCCTTACCTTCCGGGTGACGCAGGTGCTTTCCGGGCACGGTTGCTTCGGAAAGTACCTGCACTCGGTCGCTAGGAGGGAACTGAGTCCCGCCTGCTACCACAGCGACTGCAGTGAAGACTCGGCCACCCCGCCGCAAACCCCGGTGGGGTGATGGTCCGAGGGGATTTCCACAGGTAAAAAAAAAAAAAGTGTTTGTGTCAAGTTTTCCTTCTCTCTGCAGTGCAGTTGTTATGCGTAGTTTTTTCCTTAGTCGGCGGTAGTGACACGCTGTATTCTTAATCCGTCACCACACCACAGCAAAAAAGTGTAAAACTGATATTTATACTGAAATGGGCATTCTCGTTTCAGTCGTACATTAAAATGATACTAGTATTTAGCTCGAATTTAAAGAAAAAGTGGAATTTAGAATAACACTGTAATATTGTACATATTACATTTGAAAATATTATTTCTCTGAATTTGGTTTGTATGGACTAAAAAAAATGGCAGAAGAAGAATTGTTAAAATACAACTTTAAATATTGAACTTGTTTCATATTGAGACTGATCGAGGCATACTTTATTCTGAGAAATACTGATTAAGACATTCATAATAAGTATGGTTTTTGAATAATAATGTAAAAAATGTCAAATTACTTAACATTTGATAGATGTATTTTTCGGCGTAACACTTAGTATTTTTCGATTGATTATTATCAGTGAGATCGGTGAACATTGATATGGACGGATAATGTAGGTGTGAAATGGAAGTCATATAATAATATACACTCAGGCTAATGCGCTAAATTTTAATAATAATGAAACATATTTTTTTCTATGTTCAGTAGAGACAGTTTTTACCTACGAGTATATATAAAGGTTGGACGTGTTCTTTCACTGTTATTACAGACATGCCTGGAGGGTCAGCGGTACGGCGCGCGGTCGAATGAAGCGGTCGATGAAGACCGCATCGCACACCTATTGTACGCGGTCGGTCGCACCGATTCGATTACTTCGCTTTTAATTTTACTGTCCTGGCATTATTTTTCTTAAAATTAATATATGTAGGTAGCTCCAGCTCCTCTTAAATTACCATTTTGAGAATATTTTATTCTATAATATCTTCCTATAGGATTTTTGTTCATCACATAAAAATGTTAAGTTGGTTTGTGTACGCTTCAAAAACTCAAAAAGTTCTGCACCAATTGTGCCACAGCGAAGCGTGGAGCGGTAGGGATAGTATATTATATAAAATTTTCATACCTCATAATTTCTGCTATAGCGGGCGCAAAGAATATCATAGTGAACTCAAAACCCCTCCAGAAAGTCCATTTCACCATGTGTCGGGTAATGTGCCAAAGAGGTGATGTAAGTTCCTTTAGAACACTCACTCTTAATCCAAAGACGGTGTACGCGACCGTATCGGAAGTGTACATTGAAAATAACTCCTGAGTGAAAAAAAAACATAGGTGTTAGAGTAATTAAACAATCAATCAAATCCAGAATAGATGGACAATATAAAAAAGCATTTCATTATGTAAAAGTTGAGCTAGAACCACGAAATTTGGCAAAAGAAACGTCTTACAGCACAAAAAAAGGAATAATTCCAAAAAATAAATAAAGTTGAAAATTAAGATAAATTTTGGTAATTACGAATTTTTGCGAAAATCTGGGTAGGTACGGAACCCTCGGCGCAAGAGTTCGACTCGTACCTGACCGGTTTTTATTATTATTTTATTAACACAGAGATTGATGAAAGCTCAGATAATTAAATATACTACCACAAAGGTGTACTACCTACATATGAAATACGTAGGTACCTACGTTTATGTGTACCTACGTATATATGTCTTATGCTATAACTATGGAATTTTAATTCGAATTTTGAATTTTATGAAGTGTCGCTTAATATTGTTTGCATTAATTTAAACAGCAACAAGACATCACACTTTACATCAACCGCCTATATTGTCCACTAGCTGGACATAGGCCTCTCCTTGAAGACGGGGTTTTGTCCTACTATACCACGCTGGCCAGCCGGGTTGGTATAGGATTTGTTTCAAGTTTTCCTTTTCTTTTCCAGTTAACTATTGTCCTGCGTAGTGTGCTCCCTTAGTCAGCTCTTACGATACCCACGGGATGAGTAGTTTTGGTGAAACTCCGTATTATTAATCCACTACACGGATACATTACAGACGTTCACGAACAGTCCAAACGTAGTAGGCAAACGTCTAATGGACTTAATAACTAAAGTTTAAGAGACTATTACCTTCATGTCTACGGGTTTATTGTTGTCTATGTGGTCTGTCTGAATCCTTCGTACTAACTCTTCTGAGTTGATATTCATTAATTGAGTGACACCTTTTAGACGCTTGCTTGTAAACATCGGTGCTAGTTCGTGTCGCATTGTACTCCACATAGGGCTCTGAAAATTATCACAAATTAAAACCATTACCGGAAGTCAATTTAAGCTGCAGATCACAATTTTTGTGACGGTTCTTGTCGTATTTATTAATTTTATAAACAAAATTCTACTAACTTAAGAAACTCTGAGTAATATATATACGACGACCGGATGGCGTAGTGGTTTGTGTAACGGACTGCTATTCCAAAGGTCGCGGGTTCGATTCCCGCTCAAGTCAAACATTTGTGTGCATGAACATTGGCAGTTTGATTTGGTCTGGGTGTTTCTATGTATAATATGTATGTATTTACAAAAAAAAAAAAAAGTATATATGTATTTATATCAGTTGTCTAGTACCCATAGTACAAGCTCTGCTTAGTTTGGGACTAGATGGCGTTGTGTATGTAAAAAAAAAAAAAAAAAATAGTTTTGAGAATAAAACAACCCAGTAAGAGAATTAATATAAATTACATTTAAATATTTAATTTCTGAACCTAAAAATGTATGTGTGCTAATGTTGTTTAACTGTATTTGGAAGTCACAACAATGTAGTATGTAAATATAGACAGTTGAAACTTGACATTTAATATGTAAAAATACTATATTATTTCTTTATTTCTTCTGAATAGATACAGCTATATCGATTCACTGCTTAGCTAAGTGTGCTACAGCATCTTTTTAGGGCATTATCAAAAAAGATTCATTTTTATCAGTTAATACAAATAACAGACTAACGCCTTATGCAGTCAGTAGCACGGTGTCTCATTTCTTACGTTACGAAGTATCATAAAATGGACTCAATGTCTAATTATCCGATTACAGTTATATCTATTTTCTTTATATTTTCTCCTCGACATTATATTACAATTACATAATACTCCGAGTGAAGATTGACCGTCCTTTTTAAAATAGCAATAAAGTGATATATTACATCGGAACGATAAACATCAACGGCTCGTTACAAACATTGCGACACATTATAATTGCCTTTCTGAGTTAAATGCACGAAGTTGGGACGATGAATCATACAATTTAATTCAATATGATAAGATAAAATCATAACTCTCTATTTTTCTAATTCATGAAATCACCTACAAATGTTATATACTTAACTGTAAGTGGCGTGACTGCAAATAAACTGAAAACGTGGACATTGCAACGAGTACGAGTATATAATAGTACAAATAACAATAGTCATTTCAATGATCGAAAAACTGTAAAATGTAACAATCGACATCATAATATATGTACATATTTAACAATGCTCGAAAATTAGAAGAGGGGTAAATAATAAATAAATAAATAATTTTTAATAAACAATTTAACAAAAAAAACTTAAGTAAACTATTGTTTAAATAGGTAAGAAAATCCAAACTTAGAGAAATTAGTTGCAAGAAATTGGAAATACAATTTAATATCTATTTTTATCTGTAATTATGAAATTGTAAAATATAGCCAAACAATAATAATTAAAACAGCAATAACAGTTAAAGAATCAAAGTTTCAAAAGTATCGTTCTGAAGAACTTAGTAGTACCTACAGTGTAAAGAGTACGTACCTTCACAGTGAACAAATTCAATGCACCCAACGGGTCATCTTGATCACCCGGGTAGGAGTATCTATTTTGGAAACTGTCAAAATCTTTCACAAGTATTTTTTTGGCGAGTTCTTTTGAATTAATCACAAGCGCAGGTCTCCATCCCAAAAATATTCCCACGTAGTCAGTTTTGTGCTTCTTACTCAAGTCGTTGAATAAGTCCCACATACTTATTCTCATGAGACCACCAAGATTACCAAAAAATAATCCCGGTTTCTCATAGGGGATACCTTGCTTTTTCCAATAACCATAATCGCGGCGTATAAATAACAAGAAGAAACTAAGACACAACACTATAGTTGCTAACAGTAATTGTAAAATTGTTTCAAACATGATTACGTCCGTTTCAATCGGCTGGTCCGCCCAAAATGTGTATTAGATATGTAGTGTCCTTAAAATTTGTCAATATTCGGTTCTTTGGTTTTTCGTCACAAACAAAAGAGCTGCCCCAGGCCAAGGTGTGTATAATTTGGGTTCTGTAGTAAATTTAAAATTAATTGCTTTTTTAGGAATAAACCATAGATGCGCGGGGAGCTAACGATCAGAAGCAGATGGGTCACCTGATGGTAAGTGACTACACCGCCTATGGACAGCTACAACTCAAGAGACACAATTGGGTTGCCGTCCTTTCAGTACCCTCTTCCCTCTAGAATAAAGGATAAAAGTAAAAAGCAACGTAATGCTGTGGTGTCATCTCGCAGAAACAGGCGGCACAGAGGGCCTGGGAGGACAATCTCCACTCGGAGTCAATTCGTAGCCGGCAAACCGGGCGGTGGAGGTGCGCTGCGCCACCTGAGTGTGGCCGCGGGGGGACGGGCGCCATTGCGGGCAGGGGCTAGGATTGGTCCGGATGTCTTAATAATAGCAGTGCCCGGATGTCTCCTGTTACGGGCGCAGAGTGGCACACCATAGATCTTGCGCAAATCGTTACTCCAGTGGGCCTGTTGGCATCCTAAACATGTTTACCCCAACGGTTGTAGGTTCGGAGGCTACTATGGCCAGACCACTGCCACTTCAGCTTGCTAATCCGAATTCCGATTTTACTCGGAAGGCTTTACTAACAACAACTGCATATCTAATGAATTGTTATTTTTAGACGATTAAACCTATATCGGTTTAATTTTACTTGGATTAGAACCATTTCACTTGGATGCAACAAATTTGTATATGCACATTAACCATTTAAGCTACTACACCAATTACACCATTGAAATTTGTTGCATCCAAGTGAAATGGTTTAGTATGTTGACCGACGTGGAATAATTCCACTTAGCAGTTTTAGTTAAGACCAAGGAATCCAAAAAATATTCAATATTGATGTATTTGTATTGATAAGGTGGATAAGAGTGTCTAAACAAATGTAAGATAAGAACATTAAGTAAATTTTAAATCGTTCAGATTTAATCATTCGCAAACTTAAAAGTAATACTTTCGATGTTTTATACAAAAATGAGATAATAATATAAATTGACTTAACGCCTTAGCATTACTAAACTTAGCCTTACCAAAATCGAAACAAAATTACAAAGAAGTTCGGGAGAACTATTGTCATGTCACACAACATTCGGCCCGAAATATTGTCATAGCACTGTAACCTTTTATTTGCAATCCTATTAATATTATACTTAAACGCAGAAGTTGTTGAGGATGAATGCGTCGATGGTTTTTATCAATCAATCGCCTAAACGGATGTATCAAGGAAAAATTTATTGACAAGACTGAGATTAACAAAAGCGAGCTGTGGGTTAAAAACTAGTGTGAACTAGCTCACTAGCATATTGTACCTATGGATAAATTTTATTGGGCCTCTTAATTTTATCTATATAGTTTATAATTGTCTTTCAGAATAGACTAATGTGCAACTTGCATTTGCTACTAATAAGCCACTATAAAAATGGCACACACCACTAAGTAAGAAAATGATTTATACACTTATAAAGTGTACACTTTTTCATGACTGTAGCGTCGATATTGCTTTGTAAATTACTATATAAACGAGTATGCAGTTTACTAAGATGAGGCTATTAGTGATGACATAATCATTAGTAATCATTACTCGTATGAAGGGTAATTATAGTTGCCTCAAGTTAATATATCCTAATGGGTTTTTTCACTTTAAAAGATTAGCAACATATCGCTGGTTTATGAAGACAGCGATAGGAACAAATTTATATTGATTTAAAGAATGATAACGAATTTATGCCTTTTGCCAATGTTTTATCTCAAATTAATAATGTCCTTCTCTCTTTCTTACGAACGTTGGTGCGAAATTTTTATCTCTGTTAACGATAGAATATCAAAAATATTATTTCGTTTAGAATACTAAGTTAAATTTTTTTAGTTAGTATCTCACAATATTATTATGGAGTGTTCAAAATAATATTGAGAAATAGTGTGACAGAGGATTTGTAGGGTTATACTCACATTATAACAGCATAAAAGCGCCGCAGAAGAACCTATAGCCATTTAAATGCTTTAGTTACCCAGTGAACTTGCATGTAATTAAAACCGTGCATGTACAAGTCCGACCTGCTTTTGAACGATACCTGTTCAGCCCAAAGTTGTAAGTTAATATCTAATTGGTCCACATTCAAAATCGTGAAGTTAACTTCGCCGTTGGTCACAAAAAAACCCATACGTCGTAATAATTTTTTTGGGGGCAAGATAGGTAATAATCGCATAAAATATATTGCTTGTGAATAAATTTGTGGAATTCTGTTTTTTTTTCCTTTTATTTCAGACATTGTTTCTCGCCAAATTTTATGATTCTAGGACATTCGGCAGTTTCTTGTAGGTTTTTATTTATCTACGAAATGTTCTATTTAACATATATAGTTAATTACGTATGCTACAGCCGAAGGAGCAAAAGAAACGAGATCTATTTAAACTTATTTTAATTATAATAAAAATTACAATCTAAAAATAGGTATGCTCAAGTTCGATGTTTGAACAAAAGTGAGTTTCCGGTAAAGCAGGGCTTCGTTCATCGGTGGTGTCGTGTCGCCGTCGCGCTGGCGCCATCGGTCGGGGTGCTGACGGTGCATTCACACGTACTGGTACAAGTTGCTGACGGTGCAGCGCGTGTAACCGCTGCTACTAGGTCGCGATGTGCATTTTTAATATATTTTACATATTTTAGGTATATGTAATTCCTCCCCCCTCAGTGTGGCAACTATTTTCCAATTTTGTGCGAGAAAATGGCTGTCTGAGATGGTGTCGTACGGGCATGATCTCCGGCATCCTCTGTGTGTTTTTCTTCGTTAGAATCTATTGCTACTTCAATGTTTACTGATCTGCGTAGTTTGTAACGACGGATTAGAGATACAACGACGAAGATAATTACGCCGGATAATACAACATAAAAGGGTAGCGTTGTATGATAGTAATAAGATTCATCTAATGAGTCCATCTGTAGGGGAGTCCGGAGCGATGCCTTTTCTTGGATACTATGAAGTGCTTTCAGGTCTATAGATGTAAGATGTAAGTGTGGAGTCCCTTGTATTGCGGTGTCTATACTCTGTTCTATCTTCATAATTTTCAGTGGCTGCCCTTGTATAGCATCATCTGAGTTTAAAATAGTGAATTCAGGAGATTGCAGAGAGCAGTGCAGGGGTAGCGTAACGAGAAAGCTACCATTCAGTACATTGTATGCTTCTGTGCCACAGCTGAGTCGAACCTTTGCTGCTTTTGGGAACGATATGATGTAGCTGCGGTCATCCAGTTGCTCTACAGTTTCTTTTAGTAAATGGACCGTCGAAAATATGCAGGTTTCTTCGATAGTTTGCCTCAAGATAATCTGTTGAATGCAGTCTGACGTAGTGCGTATCCTCCTGTGGGAAGTCTCGTCACAAAGGGACAGGTGATGGTACTTCGGGCATTCAGCCTCTATGTACACAAATTCTTTTCTATTAATTGCTAGGAAAGGAGAAGGTGGGATAATTACTCGGTGAAATCTATTGGGAGCTAAGGATAATCTATACAAGTCATAAGTACTCTTTGAAACTATAGGGAATTTAAAAATTATTACGATCTGTTTATTAACGAATTATGAACCGAATCTTATCAAGGTATAATAGTCCCTTAATTCTAAGTCCACTACTTGTTCCGGGCCGTAAACTAACCTAAGCTTGCTTAACATTAACCTAAGTACTTTAAGACTAATCATCGAATGATGAGTCGTGGTTGTACGAGTAAAAGCTAACATATTCTCTATATTAATTAATCCATTTAATACGTCATTAGCGTTTTCGGTAATGATTGTTAAGGTTTGGGTGAATCTACCGTATCTGTGGAAACTATTCTCTCTATAACTTTTTCAGACCAGGATTGTAAGGTATTGTTAATTTCTATTTGATTTTGAACTAGTCTTTCTAACACACTGCTCTGTTCTTTCATCCAATCCTTATTCAAGCTAGCGCGGTTACTAAGTTCTGAATTAATTTTATTTTGGTTATTTTCTAAAACTTGAAGTGCTTTATTATATCTTATAGCGTCCTGATAATCTAAATTTCCTGTTATACTTTTAACTAGTGATCCTAGTCCGTCTATAAGACCTCTTTTTGTCCTGCTAGGTTCTAAAGTCTGCAAGTGTTCTAATATATGATTCGTTTTATTCATTAGGTAGCGAATTTGGGGCTCATATACCGTGTAAGTAGTGTTAAAGAGTCTATGTTCAAAATTTAGTAGTTGTCCTCTTAGTTCGTTAATTTCATGTTCAATTCTGTCCAAGTCAATGTACTGTAAGAAGGTATGGTGATGGGTTGTCACTCTTGCAGGTCCGAGTTTAAACGGTAAAAGTCCTGGTCCATTGTCTAAGTTATCAAGTCGTATCTCCTGTGTTAGCGCCAGTTTTAGTGTTGTCATCAGTAGTAAGGTCACCCTGTAACAATTTTACATTTTTGGTTGGTCGTTTCAGGCGTGTTTTTTGATTGGTAGATCTGCGAGGACTTTATCTTGCGTGTAACGGGGAGCTATTTTCTGTCTAGTTGCCGCAGGGTTCCTAATAAATACCTGCTGCTGAGGTTGGTATTCGATTTCAGGTTCTCTCGTCTTATTATGGTTGTTCGTAAGGGCTGTCCGGTTGTCGAGGGCTATATTATTAACTATGTCATAAATTAGTTAATTTCATCTGGTCACGGTGTGTCTGCATATACATCTGTAATAAGTGTTGTGTCACATCGATGTCCGTCGGGTCTCTGGGGTCGAAGAGTCCTTTCAGTAAGTCGTAGGGTCGACATCTAGTGAGGCTATGGATGGAGCTATTGTACGCGATGATAGCATAAGGCATGAGATTTACTATTGATTCATTTTTCTGTTGTAACTTCAGTATTCTAAGGTGCTCAAGTATGGTTGAGTGGAATCTCTCGATATTACCGTTATCGTTTGGCGAGTGGGGTTGGGTCTTATGATGTATGATTTTATGAAGCTTTATGAATTCCGCAAAGATTTGGTTGTTAAATTCAGTCCCGTTGTCTGTTACAATTGTTAGAGGGAGCCCATAGTGAGTGCAAAATGTAAGAAAAGCCTGTACAATACTAATCGCTGTGCCATCCTTTAAGGGATAAGCCTGTCCGTACTTCGTAAAAACATCTACAAAAGTTATGTATTTTTCAGTCTGTATAGTGAATAAATCAGCGTGAATGATTTCCAGAGGTTTAGTCGCAGGTGGTACAAGATTTAACTGAGGTTTAATCGGGTTTCTATCGTATTTGCTTTGCCCGCATATACTGCATTCGTTAATAAATTTAGTAATGTGATCTTTCATTCTCGGCCAGTAATACTTCCGGGACAATGCTAGATAACATTCATTTATTCCTCTATGGTTAGTCTTCCCTTCGTGATAATGTTTAATTATTTCCTGTTGTTTTAAATATTCCTTTATTATTTTCTAATTCTACTTTAGTTAGGACGAGCTTCATTGCAGAGCTTTTAAAATTTTCTTGTATAATGGGTATAATTTTGTACATGGTTAATGGGGGTGTTATCAACAGGGCGGTTTTAACTTTGGGGTTGACATACTCTTTGATGGAATTTACAATATCACTCTCGAGGGAGGATTCGGAAATCTGTGTCGATACCTTAACATGGGATTCGAATGGTTTAGATACTACAGGTCGCCTAGTAATTTCGTCAACTAAAGTCATACATAGTTGCCTATAAAATTTGTTAAGGGGTTCATCTGTGATGGGAACTTCTAGAATCGGATTTTCCTGACTAGTATGGGCGGTGCTGGTAGCTGAATTATCTATACTAGGTGGTCTCTCGGAGGGGTTTACAGTAATGGAGCTAATTTCAATTCTGGATAAAGCATCTGCATTTGTATTGACTTTTCCTTTTTTATATATTACTGTGAAATCATATTCACTGAGCTTCAATCTCCATCTAGTGAGTCTGGAGTTGGGTTCTTTAATATTCATAACCCATTGAAGGGGTTTATGATCCGTTATTATTTTAAATTTTCTTCCAAAAATACTTGGTTGCCCATACTATTGCGAGCAATTCTTTTTCTATTGTACTGTAATTTATTTCACTTTCGTTAAGGGTACGAGAGGCGTACGCGATTGGTTTATCGGAGCCTACAGGTCCCTGGGATAAAACGGCACCTAGGGCAAAGTTGGATGCGTCGGTCGTCAGTATGAATTCCTTATTAAAGTCAGGGTATTGAAGTATTGGGTCATTGGTCAGTAGTTTCTTACATTTTTCAAAGCAATCAGTATATGTACTATCTAACGTGATTTTACAATTCTTTTTTAAACAGGATGTCATTGGTTTCGTGATTCTAGCGAAGTCGGGTATAAATTTTCTGTAGTATCCTAATAAACCTAAAAACTGCTTAATTTCTTTAGTCGTCCGTGGTAAGGGGTATTTTTCTATGGTGACTATCTTTTCGGGGTTAGGTTTAACGCCATCTCTTGTGATAACGTGACCTAAAAAATCGGTCTCTAGTTTTAGGAACTCTGATTTGTCCATCTGTATTTTAAAATTGGACTCTCGGAGTCTCTGAAAGACTTTTTCAAGATTAATAATATGCTCTTGCAGGCTAGTACTGAAGACAATGATATCATCAAGGTACACCAGGCATACCTCGTTTTGTAGACCTCTTAATAAATTATCCATTACCCTTTGAAAGGTGGATGGTGCGTTTTTAAGTCCCATGGGCATTCTCAGGAATTCAAAGTGCCCATGTTCTACTGTAAAAGCCGTCTTATGAATGTCCTTTGGGTCCATTTCTACCTGCCAAAATCCGCTAGCAAGATCAAGGGTTGAAAAATACTGACATTTGCCTAATTTGTCTAAAACATCTGTTATGTTGGGAATTGGGTATTTGTCACTGATGGTTTTGTCGTTTAACTTCCGAAAATCAACTACAAGGCGCCACTTTTGTTTTCCTGAAGCGTCTACCTTTTTTGGTACTATCCAAATAGGTGAACTCCATGCAGATTCGGAAGGTCTAATGATACCTTGTGAAAGCATTTTAGTTATCTGGTCCTTGACCTCTTGTCTATGCGCGAAAGGGTACCGATAACTCTTGGTGTAGATCGGGGTTTCATCAGTTATATTAATAATATGCTTTACTTTGTTTGTGAAAGTCAGTGGTTCATTGTCATCTGAATAGTTAGAACAGAGAGCTGATAAGTTGGCTAATTCTTCTGGATTTAAATGGTCAGTACGGAGACGCGCTAATACTTCTTGAGTTCGTGATGATTGTGGTTGAATATGAGAACAGTTAATGTTGAATACCTCGGCATTACAGGCTTGATCTAATGATATTATGATGTCGTTCTCTGTCGGATTAATTATTTCTACTATGCCCCGACTGCATACGACCTTCGTAACACAATCGGATATTATGCAATTACAAATTATTTGTTCAGGAATGTAAACGTCGCCATCCGGAGCGTTAATAGGCACACGGATTAATTTAGAGCTCTGCGCGGGGATGATATCCTCATATAAATTGATATTTCGGGAGTTATACATCTGAATCGGGTTGGTTGCGGATCGAGTGGTTAGTGTTTGGTATTTTAAATCAATTTTCGCTTCCCATTTAGTTAACAGGTCCAGTCCAATGAGTCCGTCGAAGTAATCATGAAACTTGTATATGAATAGTCTTACTTTCTCGTTGTCATTAAATTCAGGGAATCCGGGCAATGTAATCGAATAGTTATCTCTAGTGGTGGCATGAACGTTAGTGATTTCAAAGGGGTCGTAGTTTAATGGGATGTTGCAAAAGTACCTTTGAACAGCCTGTGGGCTTATAAAAGACTGGTTAGCACCGGTGTCAATTAAAAATTTCAATGGTGGGTTATTTATTTGAATGTGAGGTAGTTGCCTCTGAGTCTGTAAATTTATTTCTATGTTAACTTTTTTGATGAGCGGCCCTTCTGAAAATCCTGATCGTTATCCACCGGGTTACACTCGTTTGTATTTCTTTTAGAACTGTCGGGCGTATCTACTGTCTGGTCATTATAAGAACAAGTGGGTTCTGTATATCGTCATAATTATCGTGCTCGCTATAATCGTAGGGTCCGTCGTAACTGTGGTAGTATTCATTGTCATAGTCTGGGTACGGGTCATAGTACGGGTAGTAGTTTAAGTCGTAACATTCATTCATATTCATCTCACGAGATTTGAGGTAATTCGTCGTTGGCGGGTTACCTTGTGTACGCCAGTCATGTCTTCTAAGTCCTGAGGGTGGTAACGCCTTCGGTACGAAATGTTGAACACCACTCATAGGTCTGGGATACTGTGGATTATACTGTACCGGCTGGTTTCGTGGTGGAAGGCGGAACACGTTGCTTTGGGGATTATAGTTAGGAGGTCTGGCACTTAGCATCCGCTGCGTATGTGAGGGCATACGTACCTGTGGTTGTTGCTGTGCTGGGTGACCTCTGAAGCTCTGATGAGGTGGAGGCGTGAACCTAAATGGTTGCGGTGTTGTCGGTAGTGGCCGTTACAAGGTAGGCATCGGCCAAAATGCTGTTGGGGTGGTCGTATATAAAGGTTTTGGAATGTGCGCAGGTACGGATTGAACAGTCTTAGGGCCTTGATGTGGTTTATAAAATGTTTCGTTTCTCTGTTGGAGATACATTGTATTCATCTCTTCCTGCACATATTCTAGAGCCTTTTCTATTGTGGGTGGTCTCATGCACCTAATACGAGACCCTAGTGGTTCTCGTAGTCCTCTTACAAATGCTTGCATCGTAGATTTTCTGTATAGATTACGTTTAGCTTCTACAGTGGTCGGTATGTTATCGTGAAGGCTAACATAGGTCATTATTGTGCTAAATAAGGTTTGGCAATGGTCATAAAACTCTTGTGGAGTTCTCTGGCCTTGCGTGGCCAAAGAGAGGTCGTTATAGAGGGCGGTTTCGTCCCTCTGATCTGCGAAATTACTTATTAAAGCGTTCCTTATGTCTAGCCAGTTATCGGGGACGCCATTAGAGTTTATAATACTAGCTGCTGGTCCGGTTATTTTATTTAATATCCCGTTCAATAAGCATAAGTTGGAAAGGGCATTATCAGCCTCTGTGCTCATATACGAGGTCACTACTTGGTCGCATATTTGAATGAAATGCGTGAGTACATTAGGGTTACCATCAAAATCGGGCACCGGGCGAAGTGCCTTAAAAATAGTATCCGGATCGTGGCCCATTGTACTAGTTGAATCCGAAAATAAGCTATTTAAATCTAGGTCTGAATCTCCTATAACTAAATTCCTATTTCTATCTCTTTCCCCCTGCCGGCGAGACCGCCGAAGTGCAGACCCGCTGGGTCTCCGACTACTGGGATGAAAAATTTTGAAGTCAGAGTACTTGACTTATAAAGACTTATAATTTAAGGTTACTGGATAGAAGGAGGCA